GTTCTGGTATAATTTTCCCAGCTGCTGTCCTTTCTGTGCCACCAATGGTCCAGCATCTGAGCTGCTCACCCAGAAAGCTACATGTTTGGTGTTTTCAAGTTGCAGCAAGGTGAATTCTTTGTCCCTCTGCCTGACTTGGTATTACTTTGCTGCAGCCTGTGATGGGGAAGTTAATCAAGTCACCAGAAATGAGGAACTGTGTGGAAAATGTGGTTTTCTCCTCCAAAATCCATTTAGAGAAAATGCTTTGGGAAATACTTTGCAGAAAACAAGATAACATATTTTTCAGTCTTTTTTTTCCAGCTGAAAATTAATTTTCAGTGAAAATTATCATAAGCCAGAATTTTCCTTTTGAATATGTCTTCTAGCAGAAAATGCTGTGGAAAAAAATGCATATTGTTCTACTTGAACCTCCCTTCGAAGTTATAATCTAGGTTATAAAAAAGAAAACACAGAGTAACGCGATAATTTTTCTGAGAGCAAACAGAGGCTGAGAGTTTGTGTTGAGATGAGATGGAGCTATTGGAGGCCAAGGAAATCTCAGAAGGGTCCTCAAGGCACTTGGAATCATCTTGCCTGTAATACAGTGATTTTGGAAGGAGCTTGTCTTGGAAATATTACTGGCTTTTTCCCTAGAAATGTTTGAATTTGTCTCTGTCTTAGGGCTGTAATTTTTTAATCTCTGAATGTGGATTGATGGTGACTATGGTAGGATAATACGTCTATCTTGTCTACTTGCTTATCAGGGAAACATGTTCATCCTGTGAATCATTTGAACATCAAATTAAAAAGTTAATTCATGTCTTACATGAGTAAAGAAATGCATTGTTCCTGCATGCTGGACTAGGGCCCATTCCTCCCAAGTGGCTTCTGCCCTCATTGAGTGTGGTCCTGTCACCAAAACTCTGGTGGTTGCCCTGGCTCACTGCCCAGCTTGGACTCTGTCCCCATGGCAAGCCTGCCCTGTCCCCACCATGCTGGCCCTGCCATCACCTATCTCTGCTGAGCAGGGCTGGGTGGTAGAAGGCACTTGGCATCTTCCACCTTTGCCTCCCACAGACAAAAAAAGAAGGCAAAGAAGGAAGAAAATAAAAGCCAGGCAAGATATTCGTCATCCTGCAGCATCCATGGCAACTGCTGAGACTTTCTGGTAAAAGTCCTTCCCAGTGTGTGCTGCAGGTAGCAGCCTGGAGCTCTTTGCCAAAGTGGGGTCAGGCTTTGCATCCTCGAGGTGAGGAGCCATGTGACTTCACTCACAAGAAGGCTGTGGCACAGCTGGGAGTAGGAGCCAAATCTTAAAGATGATAATAAGCCTTAATCACAACAATATTTTTTTCCTTATCAGAGTACTACAAAACCCTCCCTCGCATCTTTCATTAACCTTCCCTTTTCAACACCCTAAATTTTGGAAGACTGGGATATCCCTTGGGGCGACTGAATGGTGCAACGCCTCAGTTTCCCTCTCGCACTCTCCTGACATGAGAAAAATACTGAGCAAGGATTTTTCTCTATCACATGTCCTGCTGCTGGCACTGCAAACCAGACCATTCAGAAAGGCTTTGGTCCCTGCCTCATCATTCATGTGACTGCTGACTGAATACAAAATGTAAAAGGTTACCTGCTCCATGCAGATAACATCAACTGGTGCACATTTTTAACCGTCGCTGGAAACAGCAGCCAGTTTCATTGGACCAGTGCTGGAAAAGAGTCACCAACCCAGGTCTTGCAATATTTTCCTCAGCAGGTGCGTTGATGTGATGAACTGCAGAGTTTTGCTTAGGTGTCCTCCAGCTTGGTAAAAATATTCAGCTGTTTGACTGAGGGGAAAAGGGTTCTTAAAATTCTTTGGTTTATGCAGATGGTTGCTTAACTTTATATTAAAAGTTTTAGCTGTCTGCCTGCTTATTTGAACGTTCAGTTTGACATTTAAAATGAAATTATGTGTGTTTGCAAGGGAGGGAGACAGCAAAAAACTTTTAAGGCTAGTCATTGATTTGTATTTTACCTGTGTCTTTTTGGGGGTACTGAAATGACCAACTTTTGTCCAGGTGATTTGAAAAGGAATGTAGACAGAGGTCTAGAAAGGCTATTTTCAAATAGCTACCAGAAAAAGGGTTTCGTTTCTGGAGCAGACAGGATGTTTTTACATTAGTTTTTTGTTCCTAATGGGAAAATTTTCTTATGGTCTCCAAATTCTGGTAACTTTTACCAGTTCAACAGTTTAACTTGGAAAATGTTTCAGTGACACCTGTCTGTCCCTTAGTCTCCATAAGGGGTTTGGGCATGAGTCCAGGAAGCTACAAAGCCAACAAAATTTTGGAAAGAGGATATAGGCAGGGTGAATGTGATGATTTTTTTCTGCAGGGATTTTGCTTTGGGAGAACACAGAAGTATATGGTGATTTTTGCTTGGAATTTGTCATCCTTTCTTGCATGCTCATCTCTAATGGGTCAGTGCTGTACCAAGCAGAGTGAGAGGTGCCACGGATAAAGCTGCCAGGTGGCAGGATACCTGGGAACTGATTATACTGGGATATTTTGAACCAGGTTTTTGGGTGTCATTTCCTCGTTTTTCCCTCTGAGATGCTGTATTTGGTGAAATGTTACTGCTGTCTAGTTCCATGGGCTGTCAGCAGGGAGGGCACGGCAGGAACTGAGCAGAGCACTGAGCAGAGAGGGGACATGAATTGGACAGGACCAGGACTGAGTCCCTCACAGCCTGGGGACTCTTTTGGAGGGCAATGCTGCCACTTAGGGTTGGATGGTCCTTCCGGTTAAAAGCTTCCATTTTCGTCGGCTTGTAAAAATTAGTGAAACCTCAGCTAGCAAGGCACAGACCTTCCCTTCTAATTGCCCTCTTCTTAAAAACAGGGAGGGGTGATGATTTGAGCCACAATATGCGCCAGTATGGAAACCTCCACAGCTGGAGTGACACACAGGAGTTATTTCTTTGGCAGAGGGAATGGATGTTGTGGCTGAATGTGCAGTCAGGGAAGGCAGATGTGCACTGAGGGTCCGTGGGACAGGGCAGGTCTCTGCAGCATCGCTGGGGGAGCAGGAGAGGGGCAAGCAGGCAGCTGGTGCGGGCAGGATGGTTTCTCCCCACCTATGCCTTGTGAAACATAGCACTGGCAATAGTGTGATTGTGTACTCCTCATGTGGCATGTGGGGTGGGTCTGTGAATCAGTATTTCACCATGGCTTATCTGCCAGGCCCCTGTTTTGGTGTTGCAGAAGTTGGACAAGGGGGATGTAAATGAAACAGGAACTGGTGGGAAAAGAAAGGTTTAATAAGGCTTGCTTGGGTCAATGAAACAACTGACAAGACTAATACACACTGGCTGCTGCAGATCTGGAGGCTTTCTGCCTCTTCAGGAGCCGCACTGCTGCTGGGCTGCTGCCGAACTCTTGTTTTCCCACAGGGCTGAGAACAGCTCTGTGCTTTCCAGACCATGGTACAATAAAGTCAGCATTGTGTCTTCAAGCCTCGGGTCCCACATATGGCAGCCACATGACACAAAGCTTTAACCCACAAGAAACTCACTCCTCCAGCTCAAGCATTGTTTAACAGGTTTCTGGAGGTTAAAACTTGGCATCTTGCTGTGTATTCTCATTTATGCTTTAGATGCTATTTGCCTGCATGGAACAGCTTGTTGCCCAGCCTCTTGTGGCCAGTGTTTTTTGGAAGAGAGAAGGATATATTTGATAGATGCATTGTTTGAAATTTATCTTGGTGATGTGACTCATTGCAGGAAAGATCCAGTGTCCCTCAGCCCTGGCATTTCCACTCACAGTGATTGACTGGCTCTTCCCACGTGTTTTGAAGAGCATTAATGCTAATTAATTATCTGTAAACCTTATCACCAGCTCACCTACTAGGAAACAATACCCACTTGAAGACAGTAATCCCTAGGATTGATATTATGTCAGGGATTGGCTGCCTCCCAAGAATTATCTCCCAATCTGTGGAAAAAATGTGCTGAGGCCAGTGGGTGCAGCCGTGGAGGCGGCTCCATTAGGGGTGACAGAGGCAGTGAGTGGGCCTCTTTCTTTTGTAAGAGCTGAATGGTGGAGGTTATTGCTCACATCCCTACCCATAGCAAGGTCAGGGCAGGCCCAGGATCCAAGCCTGGGAGGCCATCAGTGAGTACTGGACACAAACCTCATGGATTGTGCACCCTGTGTGGGTGTCAGTCAGCTGTGGCTGATTGACTGATGTTCCTGCGAGCATCCTGCTGCAACGGGGACAGGATAGCCAGGGCATGAACAACTTCTGGTAGGAGCAGGCATATGGAATGGGAACTTCACTGGTGGCTTTGGCCCCCCAAGCAGCATTTGGGGTAATTGCACCCCACAGCCTAGCAGTGGTCAAAATTTGGAGCGTGCAGCAGGGGTTGAAGATGAAGTTGGGGCAGTGAGGGCTGATGAAGAGGAAATGCTTAGAGGGAAAACAAAGCAGTAGAATTTCAAAGGCAGGAGCCTTCCTCAGTATTTGCATATTCTCACTGACTTGATGTGGGAACAGGCATTTGTTGTGCAGTGGCCTCTGTGGTAGAGTCGTTGCTGTGGGTGTGTAAATGTCTTCTTATGGAGGCAGTCAGTGCACCGGTGTTAATAGGGCAGAGCCTTGTTTCTCCACAAAAAGATTTCTGATTCATTGGTGCTGCTGCCTTCTGATCCCTCCTTGTGGTCTGGGGGACCCTTGGGATCATGGATCCCCAGACAGCAGCTTGGTTACAGCTCAGGGCCATAGCCCCAGCACTCTTGTGCCTGGAGGCAGGTGCCTCATCAGCAGCTGTGGTTTAGGAAAGTTTTGCTAAGGAGCTTTGGCACCTCAAGCTCAGTTTCAGCCATGAGGCCATGGAAATGTCAAAAGAACCTCCTAAATTACTTTGTCATGTGGAATCTGGAGTGCTTTGCTATTTACAATCTCTGCTTTTAAACAATGTAGGCATGAAAAAATCCATATGAGAGCTTTTAATTATTAACTTCCCCTCAGACCATGTCTTCCTCCATCAAAATCGAGTCTGTTGTGAAGGAGAAGAACCGGATGGGAGAGTGCCCAGTCTGGGAAGAAAGGGAGAATGCACTTGTCTATGTAGACATCAACTCACAGAAAGTTTGCCGCTGGAGCCCAGTCACCAATGAGGTGCAGAGTGTGTCTGTGGGTAAGAGTCTGTACTCACTGCTTCATCCTGGGAGTCTTCTCTGTCTGCCCCATCCACCCCTCCTGTTAGGAGTCCTGCAGGCTGCTGGTCTCTTACTTTTCCATGGGATCACACACCCTATCTTCCCACGATGTGTTGCTGAGCACACATTGGGTGGCCTAAGCCAGCTGAGCAGAGAGAACCATCACATGTTGCCCCTGATAAGCCTAAACTGGAATTCATGTTTCATTTGGGACCTGCAGAGGAAAAGGTACAGTCCTAATGGCTGTGCCATCCTAGAAGGTGGAAAAATCCATAGAATATTGAGCCAGTGAGACGTCCTAACAATCCCAGGGGAGAAGGATCTTAGCATCAGCTCAGCCTTTCCCAGCCAGGGATGTCCCAGTGCAGCCCAGAAGCCCTCGGTGAGGGCTGAGTGATGGCCCCAGAGCTGCCATCACTACCCACCCAGAGCTACCCTTCACCTTCTGCTCTCTCACCCACAGACGCCCGTGTCGGCTCAGTGGCTCTGCGGCAGTGTGGGGGCTATGTCATCGCCCTGGGGACAAGGTTTGCCTTCCTGGACTGGGACACACAGGCAGTCACCACCATCCTCGAGCTCGAGCAGGATAAACCCAACAACAGGTTCAATGATGGGAAAGTGGATCCAAAGGGGAGGTTTTTTGCTGGTAAGTTCCTGGCAGAAATTTACCCTGGAGCAAAGGGAAACTAATTACAGTGTGCTTTATGTAAGGCATTTTATTCCCTGTCTTGTGAATGCTCTGCTTGGTTACTGCCCAGTGGAGGAGGAGAGGGGACTCCACATCTTCTGACCTAGATGAGGACAGATGCTGTTGACAAGGGCCATCTGACAGGAAGGCTCTCCTACTTGATGGATGGTGTTTTTAAAACAACTGCTTTCATGGAAAAGCCAGTGAAGGGCTCAAGTAGGTGGGATTTTTTTCTGGAGATGTAGAGGAGGATGCAGCTCCTAGAGCAGAACATGAGCTGTAGCTTGCACCCTTTATATGCAACTTCTCTTGGTTAGCCTGTGAAAAACAAGGATGTGGGGGGAAATCCTCAGCCTCCTGAAGGCAAGAAGGAGATTTAGGTTGCTTATTATGTAAAAGGTCTTCACCCACAGGGTGGTCAGGCACTGGAACAGGCTCCCCGGGGAAGAGGTCATGGCACCAAGCCTGAGAGAGTTCAAGAATTATTTAAAAAATGCTGTCAGGCAAATAGTGTGCACCTGTTTTTTAAGGTCACAGCCCATTTAAATCATGAAAGTAGCCTACAAAGAGCAACAACAAAACCAGCATATGATGCCTGCCTGCATCTTGACTTTAGCTGTGAGCAAAACCTTAATCCCCTGTCATGTCCTGGTGGTCCTTTGGGTCTTTGATGTCTATGATTTAAACCTCACTGCACTGCAGAAATATCCTTTCACTGACCAAGATCAGCTCTGTGGGAGGCAGCTGCCCCTGATCTGCTCCTTTTGTTCTTTCTCATCAATCTGACAGGACCTATTAGCCCCTTTCACCATAGGATTGTAGAATTGTAGAATCATAGAATGGTTTGGGTTGGAAGGGACCCTTAAGACGACCTAATTCCAACCTCCCTGCTGTGGGCAGAGACACCTTCCACTAGACCAGGTCACTTAAAGCTCCATCCAGCCTGGCCTTGAACACTTCCAAGCATGGGGGATCCACAACTTCTCTTGGCAACCTGTTCCTGTGCCACACCACCCTCACAGCAAAGAATTTCTTCCTAAAAATCTTTTCTTTTTAGGAAGAAAAGAGAAAAAAATTACAATCTTGTGATTTTCCCTAGGACCTCTTGGTAACACTTGGAGGAGGTTTTTTATCAAACATGAAGAACAAGCTTCTACTTTCTAACCAGTGCTCCCACTTCCATTTCAGGTACAATGGCTGAAGAGACAGCACCAGGGGTCCGAGCGAGGCGACAAGGAGCTCTCTACACCCTCTTTCCTGACCATTCAGTAATAAAACAGTTAGACCAGTTGGATATCTCCAATGGTCTGGATTGGTCCCTGGACCACAGGACCTTCTTTCACATCGACAGCCTGTCATATGCTGTCCATGCCTTCAGCTATGATGTGCACACTGGAAAGATTGGTAACACATGCTTTGAATTTGGTGCCACTGCTGTCTGCAGCAAGACCTTTATTTGACAGATTTCATATCATCTTGTTACAATTAGTCAGCTGGCTGCCTGTGATATTTCTCAGATTTAGTTACTCATCAGGTGTATTTGGTGAACAAACTTTGACAGTCTTTCAGCTTACTTTCATCGGGAGATGGTTCAGACCTGTTCAAGGAGTTGCAGGGGAGACTTTATATTGCAGAAGAGAAAGAGCTTTTAGTATGGTATTTATTCTTGAGTGCCATCTACTGGAATTACTTTGATTGTACTAGACCCATAAATACATGTGGAGAACATGCATATATGTATTTCACAGAAGGGTATTCATATGATCAAGCGGTCATTGAGATGGAGGTTTCCCAACCAAATTTCTGAAATTAAGATGTTTTCAAATTTAACTTAAAATCATTTTATGGATAAACATTTTCTGCAAGGGAGAAAGTTTAAGTCTAAGCAAAATGGATCTAACCTAATTTCAAAACTCATCGAAATATTTTCATGATGTATCAGCCTGATATACTCCACAGGGATTTAAATGGTTGAACTGCCTTTGTACTTTAAAGAGTGCAGATTTTGGGTTATCGCAGACGAAAATTGCACAAAGTAATTACATTCACTCAGATTTCATCTTGTTGAGAACATCTCTTTCTACAGATTTTAGGATGTAAGATTTCAAAAGAAGATATAATGCAACTTTTCCCCCTACACATATAAAAAAGTAATATGTTTGAGCTTCCTAGGCTTGGCTTTATGCTCACAGCTGTCTATTCTTGGGTAGTGTAATGACCAGAAGGTGCTGAGTGGGTCAGAGCAGGTGGTCCATGCCCCATGGGCCCTGCTCTGTGGACCAGACATGCTCACCAACACATCTGTGCTGCATCCTAGACCATGAGTAGTTTGGTCCAGGCTTAATCAAAACTGGTTGCTTGGTTGGGCATTAAAAAGTAGAGGTTTTGATCTTTAGCTAGGAGAGATTGCTTTTGATCTTTAGCTAGGAGAGATTGCTTATCACCAATATGTAAACCCAGGTAATTATTTATGTGACACATCCAGGCTGCCATGACCAATGAAAGTCCCGGAAAAGTTATTGCACTTGCAGCAGTTGTGTTAACAGGAGGTTAACAGGCAGGCAGTACATGGGTTAACAAGAGAGATGGGGGCATTTTGTTCTCTTCTCTTGCTAAAATAACAGGAACACTAATTCAGTGCAATCCCAGACTGAAGTGGCTGTGCTGGGGATTTGTTTCTGCCAGGCTGAATTAGGCTTTTAACACATCTGCAGAATGCAGGTGTGATGCACATTTTGCAGCATGTCTTTCTCACAGAAAATGAATATAGCTGTTTGCAAGAACATGGAAGATATTAGACTGGGATCTGATACAGAATGGGTAGCAGCCCACATGACATCAGCTTTGTAACTCTTCCTGCAGCCTGCCCCAAGCTTTTGTACCACCTGGAAAAGGAGGAGCAAATGCCTGATGGGATGTGCATAGACACAGAAGGGAAGCTCTGGGTGGCCTGTATTGATGGTGGCAGAGTCATCCGCATAGACCCAGAGACAGGTAAGGCCTCCACCAGTTTGTGCCTATAAATGTGAGGGGAATGGCAGCAGGAGGAATGGTCTGAAGGTGAGACAAGGCAAAATCTAGTGCTCATTTCTGCCCCATGGGTTGCCAAGAGTTTTGCTGGCTGAGGCTCTGATCATGGGAAGAGCGCAGCTCCCTGTGCTGTCTCCCAGTGTCAGGTATCCCTGCTCCCGTTGCTGGCTGATGAACTGCACACTCTTCTTAATAATACCACTATCCAAAAAACCCCACAAAATACTGCATATATAATTCTTCAGTGTTCAAATGTTTAACTGGAAAATACTTTAAGAAACAGCATCCATCCCAGGCCAGGTTTCTCTGCCCTTCCTGACCTCACACACAGTGCTGCTTCATTCTGAGAAAACGAAATGAAGCCTTGCAGATGTGGGGGAGAGCCTGAAAAGTAATTAGAGGTGAGGCAGATGAAATAATTTTATTTTCCCGCAAACTGTCCTTTAGGATATGGTCTCTGTCTGAAGAGGAGGTGCCTTCTGAGTAAATGTCACATCTGTGCCATGTGCTCTAATAGTACATTCAAAATTACATGCTTCCTAAAAAATGAACATTAGAAAACAATTGCACATTTTTCCCAGGAAAAAGAATCCAAACTGTGAGGCTGCCTACTCCAAGGATCACCTCTTGCTGCTTTGGTGGAAAAGACTACTCAGAAATGTACGTGACTTCTGCATACGATGGGCTGGACGAGGCCACCTTAGCCAAGGAACCTCATGCGGGAGAGATTTTCAAGGTGAGCAGATTTTATTTTTTCTTTCTCTACATTAAACCTGTCAAGCCTCATGTTCTGAGAGGGGTGGTCCTGGCTGCCCTTGCTCATCCCACTCACCTCATGAGCTGCTCCAGGTGCACTGCTTGTCCCCCAGCCAGGCCCAGCTGCTTTTGCAGAGCTGCTCACACATTTGGAAGGAAGATTTGGAGAAATTACAAATAATAGTGTGATATCTGGGCTGGCCAAAGTTGTCTGGTCAGGATCAGAAGGCAGTGAGTGGGTATGGATCTGCCGTATGGATAACATATTCTGTAACACACTGCAAGGAATTGCTTGTATCTCTTGCTATATGTTAATCACTTCAGGAAATTTCATTCTCTTACTTCTCAGTTTTTCATTGTGCCAGGAAATCTAAATGCTTACAGAATATATTTCTCCTTTAAAAATTAAATGTTTAAATTTACTGGGGCAAAATTTTGCATCTCAATTCAAAAATTTTTTGGATTTTTTGTCTGTTAAAAATGATTGCTACTTTTAAAAAATATTTTTGTCCGGGGGTCTCGAATCTGAAACTTGTTTCTCTTTTCATTTTTTTGCTCCCTTAGCAAAAAGCACATCAGGAGAATAAAGTGCAGTTCTTACTCAGCAATTGCCATCAGCCCTACCCAAACTCTTTTATCAGTTTGGCTACAGGATACACATTTTACAGGAGGGATGGAGATCTATTCTGGGATCTGGGACACTCCTGTTGAAAGCAGTGCTTAGAGCAGATTTCTCATGGTGGGACCTGATATATTCAAGCAGCACAGTTTAGAAGCCCACAGGATGATTAAATAAGCATCTGTTTTGGTTTTGTTCTTGAATTCTCCAGTTCCTCAATGGAATTGGTACTTTCCAAACTCACATTTGTCTTGCATGCGCAAAACATGTTAAAAATTACTATTAATTGTTTTGAAGATAAGGAGTACATGTAAGGACGACAGATAACATTTAAATTAACAAAATTGTTGAGTAGTGCTTGATAATCTTAGTGATCTTAGAGTTTGAAAGAACTCCAAGTAATAACTCTTTTGGGCTCCTCTTGAAGCAGGGAACCCTCCACATAGTAGTCTCTTGCTATGATATTTGCTTCACAATATTTGAATTTTTTCATTATACTCTGTTGGAGATTTATCTGTTTCCTTTCTTTTCTCTTTTAATTTTTAATTCTTTAAAACAGATAACAGGCCTGGGTGTGAAAGGGATCCCACAGAATTTCTATGCTGCTTGAACTTTGACTCTAAACAGCAAAGAAGAAATGCTTCCATCTTGTAGTAACTCTGACTGGAAGAAGTCGAATGAACTACAGAATTTATTTGTGTGAAGATTTCTGAGCCCACATTCATGAGTGTGCTTGTTTGGAGTTGAAGATACTTCTTCTTCTGTGGGCCTGTGGCTTGATGCAATAGGTTAGAGAGATAAAGTTAATCTGTGTTACACCTTGATAGCTTTGGCTTTCCATAAACCTCTAAATGCTCAAGTGTAGTTTTGCTGAACTTTATGATGACCAGCTCTGGATTTTCAAGTCTGTGCAGTACCCAAAGCAGAATCTGACTCCTCATGTTACAGTGATGCACCAGCAACAATATGACAGATTTTAATAAACATTTTAAGAATAGTGTCTTGAACTGGACTGTTCCTCTGCTGCAGGATTCTGCTAAAGTGTTTTTGTTTTGTTTTTTTTTTGATGATCAGACCTATTTGTAGTACCCATGTTCCATTTTTACATCCTCATTAGCCTTTTTCCAGGCTGTTGTGTCTTCAGGGCACTACTTAGGCTGCTGAAAATAAACTACGCAACTATATTTAAAGAAAGGCCTACAGATGTTTTTTTTCTCTGCATTCAGATGTGACCATGAAAACACTGACTGACCACACACAGTCAGTGCACACACAGACTGTGAACCACCAGGACAGGCATCAGGACAGCCTGGGATACCACACATGGATGCTCAGTGGAGCTGTCCTTTCAGGGGTGATATTGATACCCACACACACGATCTTCCCTTTGCTTCACATGTCTTAATGTGTGCATCATCTCGTTCCCTTTCTTCTAGTGCTCATCCACTCCTGTTTCAAGTATTTTCTGCCTTTTTCCTTTTATAGCCTCCCCTCCCTTCTCCTCCAGAAAGCACAAATCAAGGTGTATTTTTAGAGGCTGTTTAAATAATGACCCAGCACTACCCTGGACTCACTGAACCACTGTGATCCTTTCAGGATTTCAGAATGCTCCAGACCTGTAGTGAAATCCAGCCTTTGCATTGAGTTAGCTATCTTTTTACAGCACATAATACATTTTCAGATCTTTGATGCTGACTCTTCATAAAGTGCAAAGAAGGCAATCATGCCCATCATTTACCAGACCAGATGTTTCAGTGTCTTCCTCTGAGGTATTTGACCTTTTCACCCCTACTATTCAAAGCCGTCAGACACTATGAGTAGGGAGAAAGTACTCAATGCCTCATGAGGATAATCATCCCCAAAACCCCTCACATGGAGGAGCAAAGGAACTATGATGAACCGTGCAGAAATGTTGAACATGATTTCCATGGGGCTACATGCAGATTGCCTTTAGAATTAGCAGTTTTCTCCAAACCCAGCATCCCTCTCCTAGCTTGGGGTCCCTCATAACAGCTTTGCAAGAACCAAGCTGGGTTGATTTTTTCCTTTAAAAATGCCCATATTGCCCAACTCTCTAAGGTGGCAGCCTTCTGGCCTGCTGACAAGTAGGAGGTCTGGTGCTGAGATCTGATCAGAGAGGGAGTAGGTCAAGCCACATGTCCTAGGAAAATGTCCTACCTGCTTCAAGTGTGAGTGTGACAGGGGAAGGTTAGGTGGTATATTTGGCCCCTCTGTTGAACTGGACACAGTCTGGAAAGAAATCTGAGATCCAGAGGACCAGGAAGGGAGTTTTATTCACTAAGTACTATTGAATATACTGGCCATGAACAGGATTTTTCAAAGTGCATTATTTCAATGCAATTACCTGAAATCTACTCTAAATCCTGCTTTAGGCTATTTTCAGACACTTCTTGTAGATGATTACTTAAGGTCATTAGCAAGCACTTTGCTCCTGTGCTGCTTGACCAAATGTAGTAGTTTTCTGAAATTTATATCCTGTTATAATTTGTATAACAGGATAAAGGGGTTTGGCCTATCACTCCTACCTTTTGCCCCTGGAAGGGAGGTGAGTCTATTGAGCTGCACAGAGACAACTTGATTGAGAAATAAAACATTCAGCTTATTGTAATGTCTGCTCAACAAATAGGCTGTTGTTTTTCATCCTAAGTCATAATTCCAATAGTAATTAAACTGCTGGGGGCTCTTAAGAGCAAAGGTGCTAAATGCCCTTTGGCACCACATCAATGCCAAACTGGTATAAAGAACATGGACAATTATGCAAGATTTCCTGTTTACCCCATCTGGAGAGGAATGTGACAGCAGGGTGTTTGGAGGCAAGTCGAGTGTCCTAACCTTTAATTAAAAAAAAAAAAAAATTGGAAGCGAGTGTGGGTACTTTATTTAACAATATCCAGTTATTTGCAAAATTGCCTACCTACTAGGTCTTTTGCTCTGACAGCACAGCAAAGTAGATAATTTTGAAACAATTTAAACTTGAGAAATACTTACTATCCCTGCAATTTTTTTTGCTAGAGCTTTCCCAGGCATGTAAGCTGGGGTTGCTGGTTTGTTATTTTCCAGCCACTCCTTCCTCCATTTCTAAAGGGAGACATGGTGCGTGCTGCTCTCAGATTCCAAGGTCTGAGTGCTTTGGGAGCTCTCTCTTTGTAGCACAGCATCTCAAACCAAAAAAAGCTTGAAGATGAGTTTCTTTCTGTTACCCAAAAGCCCACTACTTTGTTTCTCTTCAGATTTCAGAAGTTGCTGTTTTGTGATTCTGCTTTCTAAAATGAAAGTGGTAATTGAAAACCATGTTGGGGCTGTTCTCCAGCCTCAGTTCACCAAAGTGAGGCAAAGGCCCCTTGCATTGAGGCAAAGGATGAAGGAAGCTGGTACAGGATTGGGTTCATTGCCTTTGTGCATATAGGGAGCAATATGGAATCCATAGTCCTTGCTGAGGATACACTCTGAGGTGTTCTGGGTGGCCGAGTACTTGGCTGGTGTGGGTCAGCCCTATGTATTGACAAGCATGACAGGGAGGATGCTCCTGCCCAAGGGTAACCTACAGAAAATAAAGCAGCTAGTCAACAATATGGCACAGACTGATGGGAGCTGGCTTCCATTTTAAGAGATTGCTCTGTACATCCTGCCTTTTAAAAGTATTTATTATGTTTTATGTATATTTAACCTATACCCCACTGGGTGATATTAAACTAATACTATTTTAGGATAGCCATTCCGTGGTTAAGTGCTTACCTTGTGAAGCATATAAAAAATGTGCTGGTAACTGACTGATTTTGTAAAATTCTCTACCTGACTGCAGCAAAAGTTGGTCTGAGCTCCTTCTTAGTAACCAGGCACTGGTTAACCTTTTTTTTTGAAATGCAGCAAACTGGTAGAATAGAAATAAGTGCAGAATTTGGAATTTAAAGCTTTTGATTTCTACAGGTTGTGATAGCCTGCCTTTGATGCAGCCCAGAACACAGTTGGCTTTCTGGGCTGTGAGAACTCATTGCCAGCTCATGTCCAGCCTCTCATCCACCAGCAACCTCAAGTCCTTCTTGGCAGGGCTGTTTTTGGTCACTGCACTGTGACTGATCCAGGGTCTTGTAGATAATCTGTGGCAGGAGAAGGAAACCAACTCCATTTCCTCAATGTCAGTTCAGCGATTTACCCACTACAGAATCAGTGAAAAATAAATTCAATTACAGTGTAATCTGAAATTTGGGGAAGCTTTCCAATGGCTCTCTGGGGCTTTAAAGAGAGGAGTGACTTCATTTTTGGCATTAAATCTGTATAGTTTTGTTCAGGCCAAGCATTTATTTTCCACTACAGAAACTGCCTCAAGGCTTAGTGGTTTTTTGCCAGCTCTTCCTTTGCTGGTGTACACTAGCTTGATGAAATAGTTGTCTTTCTGTTTTGCATTATAACATTAACAGAAAAAACACAAACATTAACAAAAATATTTGGGAAATTATTAGGAAAAATTTAGGGTGCTCTCTTTTTTACATGGAGTTGAGAGAAAAAATGAGAAGTTTTGCAAGCCCTCAGATAAAGAATATGTAAAATAAGTAAATATGTAAAATATGTTTAATAAGAAGATGTAAAATCTTTATTAATGATTTCAATTTTAGTCTTTAACATTGGAAACATATTTATTTCACCTTCAGTTTTTCCTTTCTTACCAATACCTCTAGTGACAAGAAAGAAATAGAATAATGGAAATAGAATAATGGAAAATTATTTTGTTCTGCAATGGTAATAGCTTGCTGTTTTCATTTTCTCTTAAAAACCTTTCCTTAATTCTGCTTTCCCAAAGGAAGGATAGTGAATGGAGACCTATTTATACAGCTTCAGCCCTGTATGTCCATCCTGGGGTGATTCCCCCAATAACTCTCTATATACAAATAATTTAAAAAATATAAATAAATATATTTTTAATAATAAATAAATTCCCTTCCTGAATGTAGGAGAAATGTTAGATGTTTTTGAAGGCCTCCACTGGGAAATCTACTCCAACAAAAATGAATTTTTAAACTTTGTAATGTCAATAACTAAGTGCTTACTTTTGGTAAATTGGAGCTTTTTGCTCATCTTCAAAATACCCTCTTCCTTTTATTGCTGACTTATTTATTTGAGGAAGACTGGTCCAACAGGTAAATGTTTCACCTTTAGACACAATCAAATCCCCCAATCTCAAATAAAACAAAGGCAGAATTCTTTGCATGTGGGACAGCTCCTTTATTTTTACATCTTTGTGTGCTTTACAAACCATATTTATCACATATTTTTGATCATCTCTTCTAAAATCAACTTAGCATGTTAAAGATCTCCTATAATCGTTGCTGCTTATGCAAATTTCATTTTTCTTAGGCTACAAGACCAGATCAGGTCAATGATTCAAGCAGTAGGAGATTCAGCTAGTGCTGGAGGGTGTGAGTTCAACCCTTTCTTATGTGCCTTAGAGAAAGAACTCTGAGATCAGCATACAGTAGTCAAAAAGGATTGAAGAAAATGTTTATTGATATAATTTTTAATGCTAGCCAGACAACAAGATTTTCCATTGATTCATTCCCTGAGGGTAACCATCCCTAGACAGTGCTAAAATATTCCTTCATTCTGTGCTGTGTGTACTACCTGTGTACTGAATGCTTGTGTTATCTGTGATATCAGAAACAGGTTTGGGGAACAATAAGACTTTAGTGGACATTTTATGTCTTTTTTAAAAAAAGAAACGAGTACTAACTATCACCTCTGCTAAGTTTTGCATCTGTTGACCCACCTCAGTCCAAACTGGAGGACAAGGAGGAGTTCCAAAAACCACCTTTGTGATGGATACCAATG